TTAAAGAAAGAACAGAAAAAATAAACAGAATGAAGAAAATAGAACAGAACCAGTAGTGTCAATACAATCTAAATGGCAGCAGGGATGCACCGAAATGAAAATTCTTGGCCAAAACCAAATATCCTGAAAGAATTTGTAGAATACCAAAGACACACATTTTTGCCATTGCATAAGTTAAATAGTCAAAATGTACTTTTTACTCAGTGTTTCCCACAGGATTTGGAGAGACTATGGTGGGTGTGTCCGAGGCCCAAGAGGGTCCGGTAAAATAAATTGTCCATGTGTCCATTTACTTTTAATGTACACATGTAATATGTTTTATACCTTCTGTGAATATAATCAAATTAACCTTATTTCTATACTGTATGGACACCTGTGGTCACATGTGAATCCTCTTGCTAAATTAATCAAGTTAATCCAACCCAATTTGATAAATGATGTATGTGGTTCTCGTATCGCGTAACATGAAGACTTCATAGCTTCTCTTCAGGTAGGACTCTCATACTGCAACACTTGTCTTTGTACAGAGAGAAAATGACAGGATAAAGTCACTAACCTGCCTGTCAGCTTGCTCCGCTCCTTTTCAGTTACCATAAATGTTTGAACACGTGCGCACTCCAAATTTTGGTGCAGCTAGCTTAATCGTCTTCTCAGAAACGAGTGACAGAAACACTCAAAGTGGGTCAGACCGTTTGTTGCCTTTTCTAAGACGTCAATCACAGATGGAGTGGATGTACATTACTAGGAGACAATTCAGCAGAACAGTGTCTGCAAACGGCGATTTTGCATCTTTCTCTCACACTTCCAAAATCCTTCCACACTGCCGACATGTCAACGTAATTGTTCGGTAAAATTTAATCGGTCTTTTGACTTATTAGGCCAAACACCAAAAGTGCTATTTTTGCTAGTGTAACATCTGGTGCATCCCTAAATGGCAGCAGGTAAAGATAAAGTTTATGATAATTTATCACTCATATAGTTAGCAAGTCCATCTCTGGGATGGATCTCTAATTCATTAAATTTACTATTTATATAGATTAAACATGACAATTAACTTTAATCTTGTTATTTTTAACAATGTTTTGTGTTTGAGTTTGTGTTATTCTAAATTTTGACATTAAGATAATTTTGTTTTTATGGCAAATCGTTCCCAAATATCAGTCATCGGTCTAACTGGTTACTAATATTCCTATCGGCCCGGAAAAAAACATATCGGTCGATCCCTAGTCAAGACCCAATTTCTGTACATGAATTTAACATTTATTCTAACTTAATACAACATATGTTTGAACGTTGGTGATGTAGATTGCTTTAAGATAGAAACTACTTTGGTATGTAGTAGGTGTGCTGGCGTAACCCTTGTATAAACTGACACTATTTTAGAGAGTATTTACACATGGGGTGCTAATTTTTGAAGCCTGATAATGCCTTTAAGAGGACAGTGTGGACTTTTTTTTAATGACAACTTCACTTTAGGACGATTAACAAGGCTGTAGGGTTGAGCTTTGGGACGAAAGCGGACCACGCACCTGAAACTCCAGGGTACACTTGGTGCCGATGATGATATCCTCGTAGAAACACTGCTTCGCGTTGTCGGGCAGCTCGAAAGTTAGCTCGGATCCCAGCACCCAACCACAGAGAAGCTGGGCCCACAGCACCTGCAACAGCACCCGAAAGGATCCGTACATCCTGAAGTCCGGCAGCCGAGATCCAAAGTAAAAACCTGAGTGGACCTGCCGAGATAAACATTAGCAGACATCAAACTAAAATCAATACCGAGGGTGGTAAAAACGGTGACAAAGCAAACCCGGACATTGACATTAGTGACGAGATGTTAGCTCAAAGCTAACTAGCTAGCTGACTGGCCTTTATATTTTACAGACAGGAAGCCACTTGGGATTTGTTACATTTTCCTATGGCTAGTATATTCGTGAATTATGGGCGCATTAAGGTCATTCGCGTTAAAGTAAATTCAAACATTAACATGTCTTAATTCATTATTTTCTCAGTCAGCCAAAGCTACTCACCACCACAAAGTGCTCACCCGGATGCGACTAATGCTAAGTAACGTATTACAAACCTTGACACGACATTGGCTGTCATCTCTGAAGGCCCGCCCCCCTACTCTCCCTCATTGGTCAAAAAAGAAGAGGCGGGCGCTTGTGGGATCACGTGGGCCACGTCCACACACGTCTTGTCTTTCTTCCTTCATTACACTCCAACGTGGCTCCTGGGCAATAGAACTATATGTTTATGAATAAAACAATCATGAGCATTAATGTAATACAATTTTCCTCAATAACAATATAACAAATGTTCAATAAATGTTTCGTTTAATTCATTTGAATCACGAACAAATAAGCACCTAATTTTTCTATTAAGAGATTTGTTTTGTTGAGGAAAAGGGACTGAAAAAAGATTTCACTTAATTTTACTCATGCATATTTGTTATAAAAGATTTTATCGTAATTGTTTTGAATATTCTACCTTTATTTGTTAAGTGATCCACTGTTTTGCAAGTAATGTTCTGAACACAACAGTATATCTTGATTTTTCTTGTTGCCATACCATTTACAAATACAATCTGACCTACCTCCTTGAATGGTCGGCACCTGCACTAAATGTACGTAGACGCTACTGCACTTTCAATATTCTCCTACAGACTCATTACTGTTTTACGTATTTTTGTAATTTATGCTATGTGTATTCAATGTGTAACTATATGTTGTTCTGCACGTATACACTTTCTTGGCCAGGTCGCCGTTGCAAATGAGAAACTGTTCTCAATCGGCCTACCTGGTTAAATAAAGGTTAAATACAACATAAAAGCACAATTAACCGTCTGGTTTCTTCAACTTTCACTCAGGAGCAAAAATCTGCCTTTAAACTTGAAAGAAATAATGATATGACATTTATTGTGACAATTATCCATATGGAATGATATGAAACTTTTTTATCATGATCCCTCTTTTGGCCGCCCAGCTCTACAGACTGGTCAAATTTAACACTGGATCTGGAAATGATGTTGTGTTCACACAATACCTTAAATGTACTTAAATGGGAGGTATATTAAAAATATAATTGAATCAACAAAAACTCCTACAAATGCACAATCTCAAATTATTTCAATTGCGACATTAGCAGAAGTCCAAATTCATAATCAACATTTAAAATAGCCTCCAGTTATGGCACAATTTCTTGACCAGGTGAAAACAATTATATTTCTTATGAGATATTTGTGGTTATGAGACAAAGTTTTCTATATTCTGATGAAATCTACAAAATACCCAACAAAAGTACAGTACACTCTGTTATTGTGGGTATCTGAGAACAGTGCCTCACTGAAGGATGAAGAGATAAACACAGATATTGTAAAAGACCTGCAGTAGTGGATCCTCTTTGGGTTTCATATAGGCGGTGGGATGTTTTATCAATAACATCCATAATTTTCTCTCTCACCCCAGGATAGAGCTGCCTGTACTGATAATAAATAAATAATAATAAATCTTTATTCATAGAGCACTTATCAAAACAAAGTACAAAGTTCTTTACACAGAGACAAGGATGGAATAAATGACCACAGTGAATGAAAAATTGCATGAGGGCCAAATATAAAAATAAAAATGATAACAAGAACATAAAACAATAAAATCAACAGGATAAAGAAGAAATCAAACAAGAAAATAAGACATTTAAATGAACAGGTGGCTCGGATAATATCAGGATGTATTCCTGACTTCTTTGTGTTTGCATGCTGAGATGCCACTCGTCCAGCAGACCACAGCCAAGAAGGTTGTTGAAACCACAAAGTCAGTGATTGTTGAGTGCTCCAAAGTCTTGCTCACTAGTGGAGGGAGTCTCTTCCTGAGTTGTCAGACTTGTTGTTGAGTTGGACAACCAGTTATTTGTACGAATGGACAATCTATAAATCAAATCCCTGGAAACTCAAGGTTGCTTTGTCCCTACAAGTCACACTTCCTATGGCCTGAGCATACAGCCATGGTGGTAGTTATGGTGTCAGACACACATCGGGCTATTAGCTGCTTCGGCATTGTTAATATACTGTCCTTGCCCTCTAGCCAAGCTTTATAATAAATCCTAAGTTCTTGCTGCTTTTTTTTTTATCTCTTAAAAAAACAAAAAGTGGTAAAAAAAAAGTGGCAGTGCTGTTTTGTCCAGCTGAGGCAAATAACAAAGATGAGGTCATTCCTCTCCTCTGCAGACTTAGAGAAGGTCATCCATGCCTTTATCTCTCATACTCTGTATTCTGGTATTAGTAAGGGAAACTTTCATAGACTACAGCTCATTCAAAATGCCGCAGCCAGGCTTCTAACTCGCAGTAAGAGAAGGGACCCAATCACACCAATCCTCACTGCCCTTTGCTTGTTACCTGTGAGTTTTAGAATTCATTTTAAGATTTTACTACTTGTTTTTAAAGGCCAGAACGGTCAGGCTCCTGCCTACATCTGTGATTTGATAACTACTTATACGAGCCGGCAGGGCTCTACTAATGGTTCCAAAATCTCATCTTGTCACTAAAAAAGCTTTTGGTGTTCGGGCCTCTCAGCTGTGGAACTGGAAACTGTTTTATTGTTTTATAAATATTGTATTATTGCTGTTATTGTTGTATTATTTTATTATTTTTAAATTACTTTAATTTATTTATATTTTTATTAGTTTGGATCTAGTTTGTTGTTGTTTTTTTCTACTGGACACAACTTGGTTTTGAAATGTGCTATACAAATAAACTTATTTATTATCAAAGCTTCAATGCCAAGCTCTCTTGGTTCTGAGGCCTCACTAAACTTACTCCCTCATTGCCTCTGGGTCTGTAACCCTTTGCAGCAGGGCACCAATTGAAAACAGATTATATTAATTGTTCTCATGACATCACGCCCCTGCATGATGCGCGCTGAGTGCGTCCTCCTGACAGTTGTGAATACCCGTCTGACCCCAAAACAAAGTCTCGCGTGAACCAGCAATACGAGATTACAGTATAGGGAGGGCTGCATGGAAAGCTGGAAAGACAAAACAAAAGCCACACATTTCAACCAACAGGCGCTGGTCGCTGTTTATTTTTTTGTAAACCAAAACTGATTTGATCCATTATTCGCATCGATTACCGTTTAACGGCAATATTAAAAAAGCTTTGCATCATGCCTAGTAGCACGTCTTTGCTGGAGGCCGACGAGGGAGAGTCCGAGGTCCCACCGCCGCTAGTGCACGCTTTCGCCGGTATGGGCCTTGAGGAGCACCACGGCACCCAGAGCCAGACCCCCGAACAAGCAGACGAGAGCCTCTCCTTTCACCATCACCACCACCACCACCAGCCCCCCCCGGTTTCTCATTTCAACCTCCTCGGTACGGTCCTAGACTTGAAGCCTCTGCACCGGCCGCCCTCGGGAGATGAAGTGAACATAACTGCAGCGCCCGTGGACGAGGAGCCAGAAGTTGTGGCGGCTGCCGACTTCTCGGGCTGCACCGGTAGCTCGTTGCTCGCGCAGGCCCGCCGCCACCATCACCACCAACACCTCCCACCGGGGCCGGGTGGCTCCGTGATGCCGCCCGGGATGGAGCTGCCGCACGTCGAGACGGTCTTGTTGTACAACGGAGACGAGCGTGACGATACCGGGGTCGGCGGCAGCGCCCTGCCACCGGCTAGCAGCATGGCGATGCTACCGCCCGGCGTGTACGGGGAGCCGGGCTACGAGGCCGAGCCATCGCTGTTGAGTCGGCGAAAGAGCGTCAACACGACGGAGTGCGTGGCCGTGCCGAGCTCTGAGCACGTCGCGGAGATTGTGGGCAGGCAGGGTGAGTCTTTGTTGTTGTCTTTCGGGTGTTTTTTGTTGTATTCGTTAGCCGACGGCAAGTAGGCTAATGTGGAGTTTGCACCGTTGGACGAAACTTGGTGGGAAGATGGTTCAGGCAGCAGTATATTAAGTAAAATACACAAATAAAGAAACAGGCCAGTACATGTATAAACTCATTAAATGATTGATAACATTACGACATAATATTAGCATATAAAGAAATATGAACGAGTAACGTCACGTGTTGTTATAAGTTACCTAATTAGTAACTATTTTTGTAACTTACATTTTTTAATATGGGACATCAGACTGGTTTTGTATTGTTTAAACCTTAAAAAGACCTACAATTAAAGCAAACTATCATTTTTTAAAGTCTTTCCAGCTGTAACAGTTAGCTTGAAACCAGCTAGCTTAGCGCTCCTCCTAACTGGGTCAACAACCACCCTCGCCCAACACCCTCAACAAAAGTTTACATCACAACTTCTTCTATCAACCAGCAGGTCCCCCTCTTTGTCTGCTCGCTTGGACAGCTCGTCTGTTTTAAGTGTGTGTTGTCTGTGCTTCGTGGACTGTGAGCACTGTCCTCGGCCGTGCCTTGTCCTGCTAAACCAGGCTCGGCTTTGTTTCGGAGGTGAAGAGCCGAGTGTTGGTCACCATTGCTTTGCCACATCAGCTGTAGGTTATAGTTAGCTCCGTGACATAACATAAGCCTGCAGACTTCTGAACACGACTGGCTTTTCTTACATGTCCAACGCATTTTATGTGGTCGTTTACGTAAACTTTAGCTCAATGGCAGGGCTTGGGAGAGTGTTATTAGGTCGTATTTGAGATGAGTTGGGGGAGGGTGCACAGACTGCAGTGTTGACAACAACAGGAAATGGCTCTGGTAATGATGTTGGACTCTCAACCACAGCTGAAAGGAATATTTAATTTATAAGCTATGGAGCTTTTAAATGGCATTAATGACTGGGAACTGAAAGTCCATGCACCGTGATCAATTGAATTATTAGTTCAATTTGGAGATACTGATTTATTAAAGTTTAATGTTATGTGTCTTGGAAATAATCCAACTTTCCTGTCTTTCCTTGTCTCTCTTTAACTTGTCCCCACTCAAACAGGCTGTAAGATTAAGGCACTAAGGGGCAAGACCAACACCTACATTAAGACACCGGTGAGAGGAGAGCAGCCTGTCTTTGTCGTGACGGGGCGCAAAGAAGATGTGGCCATGGCTAAGAGGGAGATCCTGTCTGCGGCCGAGCACTTCTCCCTAATCAGAGCCTCTCGAAACAAGACGGGCCCTCTTGCTGCTGTCACCGGCCCAGGGACCCCCTCTCTACCTGGACAGACAACCATTCAGGTCAGCAAGCACGTGATTATGAGTCATGGTGTTGCTCAGTATTAATGTGATTAACTGCATAAAAATGTCGGTTTCATATATAAGTGCCCTCATTCTAATAACTAAATGTTGTTAATGTTCAATGCAAGCACATATGTTTTATGAAACAAGCTCCCTGTTTATGTTTCTGGTTGTCATTCAAAGTGTGTGTGTGTAGTTACCGTGTGTCATTTCAACCCTACAGGTGCGGGTACCGTATCGTGTTGTAGGGCTGGTCGTGGGTCCCAAAGGTGGGTGTTTAAAAAAAAAAAAAAAAAAAAAAAAAAAAAAAAAAAAAAAAAGGTTTTTTGTTTTGATGGTGATTTCTTTTTTTAGAGTGAAGGGGAAAAGCAAACACAGGTGTATGCCAACACACACCAACAAATTGTTATTTTAGACAAGTGATGTGTTTCATAACAGCAGAACAAGTCTCATTTCCTCATCAGTTTCAACATGCAGTGTAAAATTGTATTTAAGTTTTTAGACTTACACAGTGGAATGAATAGCATGAGTATTTACAATAAGGCCATATATTTGATGTGTTTATGATTTTCCTACTATGACATGGAGGTGTAGAGTGTAGTAACGGTCAACTCCCAAAAGGTTTTATTCACATTTAATTTTTGCAATAAAGGGTAATACTGTGCTTTGTTTTTGACTAGTAAATGAGCAACATTGTTGTACTAGGCCGTGCATAACTTCATTCTTTCTGGGCATTGAAAGGAAATTGTAAATGTGCAAACGAACAGCTGTTGTGTGTTATTATAAAGATAGCATTTATAAAGACAAAGAATTGATCAGCACACGCAGGTAGCAGGGATTGTCTGAGCTACAGAGAGAGCTGGAGGTGAGTAAAAAGGGTTTTGCGGTGAAAAAGTAGCTGCCTGCTCTCATTGGCTGGATGTGGATGTCAAGTCGGCCGACTCCTCCAGATATTTGGCATTCTAGATATCTGGCAGATGTTGGTGATGTGTCAGAAATGTGTCGATCGACCACTGATTTACCCCCCGATCACAGCCTGACGGTCGAGGAAGTTGCTTGCAGCTTCTGAGAGAGTGTAATGTGCTCGGCTCAACTCTAGAAGGCTACATTTTGCTCTCACACAGTCTTTAACCTCTTGCCCTGTTGACATTACCACCTTAGTGTCAGAAAGCCTTGGGGTTGATTTGTAAATTGAACTGCAGTGGTTCTCAACCATTTGCTAGAGGGTGAGGTAACATGTCAAAATGACATCAAATTTGTAGATGGTGATGAAACGCTTTGCCACACACAGAGGCAGTGTGGAATTTTAATATTCCATATTTGGTGTTGACAAGCATTGATAAAATGTCTGCACTCCATGATTTGTGTCTGTGCTTCTGTTTGTAAGTGGTTACCCTTGAGCCATATGTCAAAAGGTAAGGTTAGACATTGATTGTTTTTCAAATTTATAGAATTGACATTTTAGAAGGTCCCTCCACTAGACTGAAACTCATGGTCTTGTGGTTGGGGTGGTATGTGCTTTAGTCAGCTGAGTCACCAGGACAGCCTGCAGTTCAGTGCTATAATTATTGCACAGCTGCGCCTCTTCCAATTTCAATGCCAGATATCATTGTTAGAAAAAAGAAGTGTAATTACTGAAAATGTATATTGCTGTTAATGTGACTGTGTCTATAGCATTACTCTGCTTGGGCTAATTTGTCAACTCGACATAATTGGGTCAAGCTGCAGTTAAGAAGCAACAATGAGGCACACAGATCTGTTGCATGATTTTTCTTTCAGCTTTTCTCCAGCTACTGTATTCAGCACTATCAATACTCAACTATACTGTCTTTTCTTTGCTTTCGAGTGCCATTTGTTTATGTACAGATGTATATTTGTCAGGAATGGTCATGCATAGAATGTGTGAGACTACATTTAATGGTGCACTCTTGACATTCATGTGGCCAGAGAAGTTATTAAAACTTGGTGTTCAGCTGACAAATGTTTAAGTACAGTAGTCTTGATCTGGCCATGTCATTACAGGGGCAACCATCAAACGTATCCAACAGCAGACCCACACCTACATCGTGACACCGAGTCGTGACAAAGAACCGGTGTTCGAGGTCACTGGGATGCCGGAGAACGTGGACCGGGCGAGGGATGAGATAGAGGCGCACATCGCTCTCCGCACAGGAACCTGCGGAGGCATTGAGGCTCCTGGTGCTGACAACAACGACTTTCAGTTCAACGGGACAGACGTCAGCTTTGAGAGTTGTGCGACGCCCATTGGGTTGGGGGAGGCTGGATGGCTTCATGCTGGTGCATCATCACCGGGTGGTGGCTTGCTGCCAGTGAGCATCAACGGTACTCAGCGAATCAATAGCAATATTAACAGTGGTGTCAGGATGTCTTCTACCTACCGCAACGACAGCTCCAGTTCCCTGGGCAGCGGTTCCAGCTCAGCTGATTCTTTCCACGGCAGTGGTAATGGTAACCGGATGGCAGATTTTAGCCCGACTTGTGTGTATAATGCCAACGCTAACAACAACAACAACAGTAATGGCGGCAGTGCAAGTTTCTGGTTTGGTGAGAGCCTTCTCCCTGTTGGGGCTGAGGAGCTGGTCAGCCTGGGAGGTGGAAGCTCCTCCTCAGGATTTGACCCGTTAACCATCTCCACTGCCCAGGCCTCGCACCCTGTTACACAGCCACAAATCTGGAGCCCTTTTCTGGAACACCAAACACCCCAGTCCCTTGATGCTCGCCAATCTCAGGTAGGTGAAATTCACCGGCAATGAAGGCAATTTAAGTGAGCATTTGCCTTTTTTTTTTTTTTTTTTTTTTTTTTTTTTTTTTTTTTTTTTTTTTTTTTAATCCTTGATTGTAGTTAATATGCAGTGGGTGGGTGTGAAAATTTAAATATAACTGATATTACTATTATGCATGCACCAGTTGTCTCATGTACAAGCAAGGTGTTATTTTAAATGTGTAATCTGAGAATCGACAAAAAAATTAGACCCGGGTTTACCTGATGGCATGTGCCTCCATTTCATAGCTTACCGTTGTGGTTATTGATACAAATTGAAAATGAAGGCCCTTTGACATTCACAGGCACAGATTGGGTAGCTGGCAATGCTCAACATATTTTTCAGTTTGAGCAAAGATGTTTGGCATGTGGCAGTTGCCATTTGTTGTCTAATTTTTCCCCTTTCTTAAAAACAACAAGGACAGAAAGTCTGTGCAGTAACACTGACAGCCCAGAAAATGTATCGGTGATCCACATTTTTAAAATGGTATATATTTCTTTCATGATGGCCATCTAATGACTGTTGTCATCGATCTCTCCAGACCAGTCAGCCTGGGACACCCCGGCTCTCTCCAACCTTTTCTGGGACAGAAGCCTTGGAGCACCCTCAAGCCCAACGTGTTCACCGAGGGCCTTTTGGCTCGGCTGGGACCCTTGATGCCCACAGGTTCCCCTCTTACAGCTCAGCCTTCTCCTCTTCCAGTGAAAGCACCACCTCCTCTTCCTCCCCTCCTGAATCTTCCCTCTCCTATCGAGCGGGGTTTGGATCAGCAGGGAGAGGACAGGAGCTATGTATCCAATGTATGGATAACCAGGTGATCGCTGCCTTGGTGCCCTGCGGCCATAACCTCTTCTGTCTAGATTGTGCCACCCGCATATGCCAGGGTCCAGATGCTGTCTGCCCTGTGTGCCTGTCCCCGGTCACACAGGCCATTCAGCTCCGCAACATGTGATTATTTTTTTTTTTTAATCATCCATTTACCTTGACGGCTGATGAGGGATCGGCCTCCCCAACACTCGTGTGGGGAAATTACAAAAGTGACCCCAAATCAGTGTCTGTGTGTCCTCACCCCGTTTTTGTCCAAGCTGGTGTTTGGTTGACAAAGGTGAGGAAGAATAGGTGAATAAGGAATGATTTGTATTTAGGGCATGGGTTAGGGTGTTCATCCTGTTCATGTGCCTGCTATTGTGAAGTCTTCTTCCTTGATTGATTAAGTGATCAATGGGAGGGTTGGAAACCCTCTGTGTAGCATTGGGTGGGGTGGGATATATCTATATAGATATATATAGATATATTTTTGTTTTTCATTCATCATGATTTTTCATTTCTTCTCCCTGAAACATCTAGTAATCAGTTTCTGCCTACCTACATTTTATTAAAATTTTAAAAATTCTTAGATTCACAATGTTAGCTTTTGTGTCAACATTTTTTTTTCCGTTTACATCTCAAGATTCTTATCCATTTAAAAAAAAAAAAGAAAAAAAAAAAAATTGCTGCTACAGTTATTTTTTTGTGCTGAAAAATAGCCCATCTCCTTTGCCTCTCAATAATTGTGCTTGCAGCAGGAAACATTTGAGGAAAAAATAAGAGTTGAGCATGTTTACATAGTCCCAGATATGAAGATGTATAAATATAATAGTACCTGGTTACCACAGAATTTAAATTGTAGTAAACTGGATACAATGTACACATGCCACATTATCCTGACAAATTCTACAAATTCACATAAATCTTATCAGCCTACCGACGTATAGTCGAGTTACTTAAAACAGGATTTGATGTTTACATGCTCCAGATAATAAATCTGAATTTTTGAGCATCTCTCATTAACAGCATATTGATAAACATGCAAACACACCCACAGATTTTTTTTAAACCAAGTGGGTCAAACGCGCAGTTGCAAAGGTGTCCCTCTTTCTTTCCCAGATTAGAACCAACCAAGTGGGTAACTCCTTTTTGTAGAGTCCCAGAGTGTTCGATCACTTCAGTATCGCCACGTTGCTTTCCATTTCTACTTTAAAGAGAAATATGTTTACGGTAAACTTGTGCCTAATTCCGTTCCTAGTAAACAAAAAAAAACCAACTGGTTATGCGGACACACAGTGTTGCTCTGTCTTAAAACAAACTTGTGGCCTTTCAGAAAGCCTGTAATTAACTGACAACACTATCTACAAATCCAGATTTTGGCTCGAAAGAACACAAGCTGACAGACCAAGGTCTTAATGTATTTGTCGAAGTTCAATCTCTTAAATGAATCTTGGTGGAACAAAGGTTATATCGCAGGGATGTTTTCTTTTGCTTCCTATTTTATTGAACCTTTCTCAAGTATTTACCACCTATTACTTTATCTTTTTAGCACCAAACACTCCCATTTAGTTTATTTCTGTTTTCATGTTTTATTCGCCTTTTTCTTTCTTTTGTATCTTGATTACATCCTTGTTTGGTTCAGCCAGAAAGAAACGCACAGCTTGTACCTTTTTTGGTAACATTCCTCCTCCCCTGCATTGCAGTTACTTTAGTAGATGGTATAAATATGGCTAAGTAATAGTTATACCTCACCTGAGAGCCCAAAACACTGATATTTTATGAAACTCTGCTATGAAGACAGCTGTAATCTGGAACAAATCCCTGTACTGTACAAACAGTTTGCTGACTTTTCAGTCATCGCAATGGTATCCCTTTCTTTTAGTTGAATGTTCTTTCACTTGAACTGCTCCACCCTGTGGTCGTCTCATCACAGCCATTTTGTGTCCTTGTTGGTAAGCAGGCTGCAAAATAATTCCATTGGGACGCAAAATAGAGACTAAGGCCACCCGTGACTATACTTTGTATATTTATTTAATCCATGTCTTGTCTGCCAGGCCTATGCAAAAATTGTCTCAGTATGTTAACTACTCCAGGAAGCACTAGATAAATTTAACTCCTCGGGTTTTAGTTACAGAGCTCAAACAATCTTGGACTTAAACTTGTAGACAGACATATCCGTTCTTGTTTTTCTTCTACTACATTTCAGTCGTGGTTAACCTTCATTACCTGTTTTGATGCAATGATGGGATGTTTTAATGGTACACACTTTGCTTCTCACGTTTCATTAGCTCATTTTCTGTTGCCCTCTGCTGTACTAAGCACATATTTCCCCATATCTTATCACAGTATTGACTCGATGGGACTCAAAGTCTCTTCCCCCTTCAACATCTATCCGTTCCTCCACCTGAAAAGTGAAGAAAAGGTACAAGTTGGTGGAAATCATCTCAAATCTTAGCTTTAAACACCAGTGTCTCTAGACTGTGATTTACAGGATTGAATGAGTTGACGGACATTTTGAAGGGGAAGCTGCTGGAATGTTTTCATCTTGGACTGTGCTGACACTACATAAGGTCAATACAGTTGCTTTACCGCTTGGACATTGGACTGCAGTCCCTCTGGCATTCCAGTTGTAAACAGTATTTGGGAGTTATTCCATCGCTTAGCTGTTTCCTAATTATCGTCTCTTTCATGGATTGAGCTTTCTTGAGGAAATGGAACCAAACGAGCCCCAAAAATACAAAAACCCCACCCATCTGCATCTACCCTCTCTGGTCTTCTCTCCGTCCCTTTTTATTTGACTTCTTTCAGCTCTACGAAGGGTCGACCTCTCTTTGCTCTCTTTCTCTCTCCGAGGGAATGCAATACATTGTCGTCCCACAGTTTATTGAAATTTTTGTGTATGTATTATATTACTGTTTATGACTGATAAATATAAAGAACTTATTTTTATTTTGTTACATTTCATATATATACATAAATATATCTATATTAAAATGTTTACAATAAGATTTTTAAATTTTTTTTAAACTTTTCTCTGATTAAGTGAACGAAGAGTTGGAAACCCAGAAATGTTGCAGGAAGGTGTCAATGCTATCTGCTTGTAGTAGTTATTAGTTTACAGTATTGATAATAGTATTGATAGCTGCCGTTCTAAAATAGTGGAAAATGGAATGTGCATCACGAGCATGTCTTCATAATGTACCGCCAATGTAAAACGTCACACTGCAACTGTAAAAAGGCCAAGGATTCAAGCTGCCTGTCAATGTCTGTACGCCACCAAATTAAGAAAGGTATACTGTAAAATGTATCTTAGATTATCTATATAGATATATTGTTAAGCTGTACCAACAGTTCAAAGTATTTGCTAATTTTACTATACTTTTGTTATGTATATGTAGGGGGAGTCTTATGGCATATAAATTCTTCAAATTGAGTCAGGAGTTTAAAAGCAGACTATATTTTATAATGGCCTTTTAAGTTATTGCGGCCAAAGCACTGATATTATATATTTGCTGTAAAGAGAATTTAAGAGTTTTATTTTTCTGATATTAAAGTTACTTAATAAAGACGGTTTCATTTAAAGCCATGTCCGACTACTGTGATTCAGTCATTCCTTTAAAATCGTTTTTTGTGCCGACACTCATCTTCCGTATTCTGAAGGATCGCTCTTAGGATGTCAGGAACTTCCTCTCCCACACCATACTTGCGTCCCATGCATGATAATGTGAGAGCCCTGTAGGATTTGCAAATTGAAGTTGTTTGTGAATGTTGTTTTTTTTTGTTTGTTTTTTTTTTAAATTTGCTGTAAATGATTGGGTTTAAGTTTGCAGATCAGAATGTTGAAAATAATGATACAAGGTGCAGCAGTCCCAACTTTGTGGTTTTGTACGTCATTGGTTGCCTTAACATTAATTATAATATTAATTATATATTTACACATCACAGGGACTGTTGCAGAAAACCTTGCGGTTGGGCAAATGTTCAAAAACTTGAGGGTTTGAATCTCTGAACCCTGCTGCTCAAATCCACGCCTCAAGGCTCCGTCAGTATGAAGACAGGAGCACATCAGATCTTAATTTGAATGTGACAAATCATAAATATTGTAGGATATATATGGGAGATCATTGTATGTAAGGTAATTAAATAATTCCACCTCCTGACCTCCTTGGACCAGTCAGACATATTAAATATATGCAGCTGTCATCCGGACAAACTGAGGAACGCTCCTTTAAATGGAGCTGAAAGATGATAGAGCACTCTGCGTGTCCGGCACTGTAAACAACCCCGTTGGCTAAGCTGGACAATGCCTCGTCTCAAAGCTGAAGCTCATGAAAAGTGGACTTTTTAGAGCTACGTGGTTGTCACAGGAAGGCGACGCCACAAACGTGAGCTTATAAAATTTGATTCATTGCTGTAGATTAAATTACCCAACAAGATATAAAGTAGTTCAAATGAGCTCAACTATTAACATTGACAGCAGTAAAATGCAACATCCACATAAATGCAGCAGGAATGAATCCAGAAACATCCTATCTAATAGGAAAACACTGACAGCGACCATTTCATTCACGAGTCCTTTTACTTTTGCTAATACTGTAATACATTGACAGGGTTTTGAATGCATGTCAGATGACCTATGGAAAGGCATAGGATAAAGGTGCATTAAAGCACACAGGAGAGTGAGGGGAGACCTCAAAGAGCCCGCACATGCGCACACACTAACTAAAATCCCCTGTGTGGGTTTACCATGGGTTTGTATAGCCTTTTTAATGTAAGAGTTATAGCCAGTAAGGCATTCTCAGTAAATAATCTGAACCTCACACAAATGGCCTCAAAACACTGTTGATTTGACTGTCTTGCTGTACAAAGACCACGCTGATGGACCCACACAGTTGAGTGTGGCACCTGATCAGACTAAGGCCCATGTTGACGTGTACGCACTGTGCACGATTGACATCTCCCCTACTCTTCCTGTTGCACTCGTTAAGGCGAGAACTTACATCTTTATCATTCCTATAGAGCATTTTCACGGTAGGCCTTTTGACACGTCATAGCAGGAAAAGCACAGGGGGAATTTGTAATGTGCGGTCTCAGAAAATTATTCAAGTGAGCCAGAGTGTGCAATACCAGAGCCTCCCCTGAGTGGAATGCAGTCATCATTAATGTTATTAAATACACCTGCGTTTTTCCTGCTATGACATTTTAAAATGACTGAACAGTGTTCGGTGACCCAGCGTAGTGCCACTCCACTTCTACCTGAGGTGTTGCAGGGCCTTTAAATTTTAAAACAAGTTCTGCTACTTTTGTCCTTGTAAACATGTTACCTTGTTGAGAAAGCAAACAGGTGACCACTTTGAGAATATCACTCCATGTTTAATAATTACAGACTCTCAGGTAAAATTTATATCTGCAATCTGTCATAGTAGTCAACATCAACTCATTTAAGCTGTGTCCTTAGGCTCCTATAATAACTGCAAATAATATAAAAACATCTGTCCACCTTAAAGCACAGAAGATAACAGATTATTTCTCCAGACAGAATTCAGCTAACATAATTAGAAAATATCCTGTTTCCTGCCATTTCATCAATCGGATGCATAATTATGTAAAAAAAAAAATCGTAAAGTTGGACTCATTTATCCCTGATGTAAGAAACTTTTTAACATTCAAATTAAAGTGAAATGTTCAAAGATGGGGCAGAGGGGGGGCAATTTGATAGCATAGTGGACAATTTCTTATGACAAAAAGACCCCAAATTTTAAATAAACCTTAAATAATCAAATTTGTCTTTTTGCATTTCAGCTGTAACCCACCAAGACAGCATTGTTCAAAAAAGGACACCTGTTTAGAGACATGTCATATGTTAACAGATCAGGAAGAATATACTGTATGGCAGTTTGGTGTGAAAAGAAAACAACGTGTATAAACAGATGTTTAAGAGTCTCAACATGAGGCGAGTAAATTAAATCTGTATTCCTAATCAATGTGGGTGTACTATATAACATATGCCTTTTAAAAAACAAACAGAACACCACAATGTGTCGCATGCAGCGCAGGAGCCATGGAGAGGGGATTCATGTGGAAATGAAATTATTTCTGTTTGTCAAACCACCATTGCTTATTTCAAAGCCTGTGAGAGAAAATCTCATCCTTGTACTCATTTTACTTCCAAAGAGAGTCTGCACACTAATAAGTGATGGGAGTTGCTGTATTTATACAAAATTAGGTCTTGGGAGACAAGTTGCCTTCTTTAGGAGGTTTCATTGCTAAAATGATGAGTTTGTATAATAAAACTGGATAATTTACATCAGTGATGAATATGTAGCGTTTTTAACGCGGTTCTTATAAACCAGCAACACGCCAGTACACAGGAGGTGTTGGTTTCTACTCTCCTCATATAGTCCAGTTTGCCTGTGTAATGCAGGGCAAGTGAAGTACTCTACTTAAAAAATGGGGGTGGGGATAAAGAGGTCTATTTGCCATTAAAATTCATGCAAACACTGACATGCGTTTCAAAAACAAAAAAAGTTATTTACATGGATTAAAAAGGGGGAAAAAATGAAACCAAAGGAAAAGAATGCAGCTCATCTCAGAGAAAAGAAACCCTACATATGTATGTAAATGCCTGTATAGTGAAAGGGCAAAAAACAGATTTTAAAACCATGTCTTAGTGTTACATATGTTTTAAATACATAATGCATCACAATGTTGCCTCTGCTCACAATCCTACATAAAATTTAAACCAACCTAATCACTCCCTTATTCATATTGTAGGACAACCACCTAAAAATAAAGGTTATTGAATTAAAAATAAGGAAAAAAAAAAAGAATAAAGTGCTAAAAAATATAATACAAATCAATTAATAAAAGTTACAAAATACGACCAAGAAAATATTTCAATATTGCTGGGAAACTTTGTCTTAAATTCTCTTAGTAAACTATACACAGGAGACCTGGATCAAGTAGTAAATAAGTGGGCTGCAAGTCATAAGATATTTAAGTACAATGATTCTCAACTAGAGTGAAGAGACTGTCAGGTATGCTTGGAGATAAAAAGAAAAAACTGAGATGACTACAAATTAACATAATTACCTTTAAAATGAATTTCAAAGAAACCTCCAAATTAACTTAACTGGGGCCAAGTCCAGCAGCTGATTGGACTTCTCGCTCATGGTCATACCAGACTTTCAGTATGTTTCTGAGCGATTAGTCCTTTTGGTTTGCCAACACATTGATAAACCCTGTTCCTTGTGCTGTGATTGAATCTCAGACACCTCACATCAACTTCTCTGCCTCTCCTCTGCTTTCTTACTGAACCAACAGCATCCCAGCTGTCTTCGTTTGCTCTCGCTCTGAACGTGAGGAAAGGAAAGCAGTTCACAGAAGGGCGTATGAGATTCATCTTTTGTTGCAGCATAAAAGAGGGTGTTTTCCAAAACAGTAACCATACCTGAAACAGGGGGGAGGCGACTGTGGTGGAAAGTGACCAATGATGAACGATCACTTATACGAGCATGTTGCTGTCACTCGTGGTTATTTGAGTGAGTGAAGAAATAATGAAATCACAGTGAACACAGATATATACTGTATCATTAATGGGCAACTCAACAACACCCCCGAGGACCTGATGGTGTCTTGGAAACCCACCAGGCCTGCAACCAGATTTTAAGGTCCAACCCCATAGTTTGACAATACCTGACCTAGAGTAGCCCAAAGACTTGACCTTGTTTCAGTTCAGAGGTTGAGAGTTGGCTTTAGGCATAGTGCATGTCATTTAATTCTCTGTGATATCTGTGGGTGGCTGTGAATGTCTAAGTATGACCTGATCCAGCTGGGTGGTCCTTAACGCTTTCGAGCACTGATCCTTCGCGGTTCAGAGTGCCGCTGCTTTTCTATATTAGCCCCAACAGTTGACTGAAGTGCTTGTCGCGCCAGCTGCAAAGCAGTCTGTAACAGCTTGAATAAAAACTGACACGACAGAAAAGCAGCAGCAGCACTCTGGTGCTCAGACGCCGGACATGAGATCCTCTGTGTGCAGCATCTCATCCCGCAGCTGTACAGCGCTCAGATGTTCGTGTATTGTTCAGTCAGTCAGTAGTTGGTGATTGTGGACTTACGGGATGCAGAGTAGTCGGCGACTCTGTGCTCATTCCAGTTTCATGGGATCTGCAGGTCATCTATGTGCATGTTGTGGTGCTTTACAAGTGTAATTATCTGTGATATTTTTTCTAGTCACCATTCCAGTCATCACAAATCAAAGCCATCTATCAAAAATATAGATCAATATATCTTTTAATATATGGCTTTGGCTGATTTTTAGTATCACCCTTCCTTTAAAAAGCAACAGTGCACAAAGGTGCCTCAAACACACCTCAAAGTATTTTTTCGCTTCAGTGTCCACAGCTGTTTCACTGGCGTCTCCACGCCAAAGAGTTCTCTGAGGAAGCCCTTCCGCTGACAGTGTGTGCTGCGGTGTGATAACGATCTTAGTCCAGAGGTTGTGGGTCTGCTATAGGCATAGTGTGCAGAACCTCGTCCAGTAACTGGAGAGCTCTGTGCAGGTGGATCTCGATCCAGCAGGGGGTC